GCCAAACAGAAGGTGGCCCTGGAGTGCTTGAGCTACCATGCCACAGCCAGTCAGGATCAGACAGAGAAGCTCACCCAAGATGCCATTGCCGAGGCAGAATCCTACAATCTGTACAGTTTCACATTTACGGGTAAGCTGAATCCAGTCCAAGCTCGACTGTGGGATGTCTGTAAGCCATTTCCTTTTCAGACTTTGAGCTGGTGGACGATGACACCTGTCGTGCCGTGTTGCGGATGTTTATGCAATGCAATCTGGTCTCCCAGTTCCAAATACCCTACGATGTAAGTAATGGCCTATCTAAGCATATACGAACGTTACTGAACATTCTTAGGTCCTCTGTCGTTGGGTGCTGAGTGTACGCAAGAACTATCGTCCTGTAAAGTACCACAATTGGCGGCACGCTCTCAATGTGGCTCAGACCATGTTCGCCATGCTTAAGACTGGCAAAATGGAGCGCTTCATGACGGATCTGGAAATACTGGGCCTGCTGGTGGCCTGCCTGTGCCACGATCTCGACCATCGCGGCACCAACAACGCCTTCCAGACCAAGACCGAGTCCCCGCTGGCTATTCTCTACACGACTAGCACCATGGAGCACCATCACTTCGATCAGTGTGTGATGATCCTCAACTCTGAGGGCAACAACATATTCCAGGTGAGTTTTCAGGACAGTTTAATAGAGATTTTTCGTGTCACAGCTTAGCCACGGAGAACGCGCACCTTGTTGTTTTTGGCGCGAAGATTTCTACGGTTCGACTGATTGCCTTTTCGGGCGCTGACGCGTGCCTTGCGACCCTTGGTGCGGGCACTCCTGCTGCTGGTGGATGAGGAGGAGGATGTGGTCGTGGACTCCGTTGTGCTTGTAGTCGCATCCGTGGTGGTGGTAGTGGTGGTTGAGGCAGAACTCGATGTTGATGTGGAGGTGTCTGCAGCGTTCACTTGTGACACACAGAGAGACACCACAGCCAGACCGAATAGAGCTAGAGACAACTTCATCTTGAATGTTTCAACTATCAAATGATATACCCACTTGCTCTGATAATGTTCCTTTTATACTATCCCTAAGACTTGAATGAACCTTCGTATCAGCTAACAGAACAGAGAGAAAAACCTCATACATATGGCCAAAAGAATAAAGTTCACCTTGATCCAAATGATCTGAACTATTAGTGACTCTTAGCCACACGCGAGTCTGTAGAATGTCGTCACTGCTCCAAGTGTTTTAGAAACTAATTTAAGAACAAAGAACTTCGGTGTAGCTATTTCTGTCTCTAACTTTCACTTACTATTTGGCAGGCCTTGTCCCCGGAAGACTATCGCTCCGTTATGAAGACTGTGGAGAGCGCCATCCTGTCCACCGATCTGGCAATGTACTTCAAGAAGCGCAATGCCTTCCTGGAGCTGGTCGAGAATGGGGAATTTGATTGGCAGGGCGAGGAGAAGAAGGATTGTAAGTGATAGTAATCCCACCCAAAATGGATAATGAGAATATCTTTTGTTCAGTGTTGTGTGGCATGATGATGACTGCCTGCGATGTCAGTGCCATAGCCAAGCCGTGGGAGGTGCAGCATAAGGTGGCCAAACTGGTGGCCGATGAATTCTTCGATCAGGGTGATCTAGAGAAGCTTCAACTGAATACTCAACCAGTGGCCATGATGGACAGGTGAGTTGGCAATATCTGATTGAAAGCCAATAATGTGGTTTTCCTTAGGGAGCGCAAGGACGAGCTGCCAAAAATGCAGGTGGGCTTCATTGATGTCATCTGTCTGCCCCTGTATCGCGTGCTCTGCGACACCTTTCCTTGGATCACGCCACTGTACGAGGGCACGCTCGAGAACCGTCGCAACTGGCAGGATCTGGCTGAGAAGGTGGAAATGGGTTTGACCTGGATCGACCACGACACCATCGACAAGCCCGTGGAGGAGTTTGCCGGCTGTGCCGATGAGGAGATTAAGGACATTGAGTTCACGGTGACCACGCTCAACTGCAATCAGCAGACGCAGCAGCATGTGGCAGGTGCAGGCGGCGATGACAGCCACACCCCGGAGCATCAGCGCAGCGGCTCTCGGCTGAGCATGAAGAAGACAGGGGCCCTGGGCAAGGCAGTCCGCTCGAAGCTCTCGAAGACGTTGTACAACAGCATGGACGGCTCCAAGCCGAAGACCTCGCTGAAGTTGCTCGAGTCGCATGTGAGCGAGGACATGGACGACAAGAGTCCGACGAGTCCCTCACAGCCGCAGGCAGGCGGCAGCGTGGGGCGCATGTCTGCCTCGTCCTCCACCTCATCCGCCGGCACTGTGGTGGACAAGTCCAAGAAGCGTTCCAAGCTGTGCTCGCTCTTATGACGAAAGCCCTCCAATTAGAATCTGGCGACCCCCTCCAGCACCTCTGGCAGTGAGACTGACAAGTGCGGAGGGGGGCTGACAGAGTTCTAATTGGAGATCGGAGATGGGAGTGTACTCTGGGAGGGTGTACTCTCTATCCACCCTCTACCCTGTGTGTAGCTCTTACTATTTGTATGTCTATAGGTGGAAAACTATCCACAAAATATCCCACAATACCACATACCACAAGATGAGCAGGAGGATGAGATGGATTCGGAGGTGTAGGAGGAAGCAAATGCAGTTGCAATATTAAAATAAGTGAATGTCAAAATATGTGATCTATTTAAGGTCCAGAAGGTGCGAAGGTGCGAAGCTCACGCGTTGAACCTTACCTTTTGGTGGTTACAGTTACACGCTCTATCTCTTTCTCTCTCTCACACACACACACACACACACGCATGCACACACACGATCTGTGTGTGTGTGTGTGTCTCTGTCGCTAACTGACTCTGAACTGTAGTTATCCCCCTGTAAGCTCCCCAGTACCCAAGTAGATGGATCAGTTTAAGTAATGTATCTCGATGTGTATGTATGTACCTAGTTCCAATAACCAAATCGTGCTAGTCAAACGTATGAAATACTATACCTAACCTACTATATATATAACCTAATCTAACCTAAATACATTTAAGTAGAAATTTGTAAGTGTTTAAGCTGCAATTCGTGAGGCTATGCGAGATCAGGCATCGATGTATCCCCAATATGTAACTATGAATATGCACAGACTGTGCTGTGTGAAAAACTATAGCAATATTATATGATATTTCCCCCCCCCCCCCCCCCCCCCCCCCCCCCCCAAAAAACCAAAAAAAAAAAAAAAAAAAAAAAAAAAAAAAAAAA